AATACAGCATGTGTAATTCTATTGTACTTGCGTACCTTCAATGAGTATTACTACAACAGCGAGTGCGAGGAGGATGAAGAGGTGACGTTCAACCACAATGACTGGATACTAATGGACATAGTGAATAAAAATAGCATGTTGCTGCTGGCATTCCTGGAATAGCTATCCATGGTAGATTGTCACTTCTGGGCCCAAGATACAAGCACAGATAAATGGGATTGCACCATAGGGATCATAGCAATAGTGAAGAACTTTCAGATGAGAAAGGCCACATTCCTCAATCTGTGTTCTGTGCCCACCTCAGCATTCAGAGCAAGGAAACCAGACGGACAACTGCTTTGGCAGTGGAGAAGCAACTGGCAGTCACACAATGCTGGATTGCTATCGGTCAGAGGCTACTCACTTTGGAGTTCAAAAATCCAAGTGTGCAAGGCCATTAAGCATATCCTACTGCCCACGACTGAGACTTTAGGCAATGTGCAGGAAAGAGTAGATGGATTTTCAGCAATGGGGTGCCCAAACTGGGGCATAAACAGTACACACAGCCTTATTCTGGCACCATCCCACCTTGCTAGCAAGTACATAGATAGGTACTTTTCCATGGTTATGCAAGTCCTAGTGAATCAGTGAGGGTACTTCAATGACCATGTGGGCTAGTCAGGGAAAGTACATGATGCTTACATCTTTAAGAACACAGAACTTTTCCAAAAGCTGCAAGCAGAGATACTGTTCTTCCCCAGCTGGTGCATTCCCATTGACAAGGCTGAAAGGTTGAAATAGTGATCCAGGGAACCCAGCCTACCCTTTGCTTCCCTGGCTCCTGAAGCTGTACACTCCCCATCTTCACAGCACTGAAGAAAGATTCAACTAGCAGCTGTTGAATGTACACAGCTCAGTTGGCCTGGAGACAATGAATGAGACAGATGTCTTTAGCCTTCTGTAGGACTGTGGACTAGACCCTGAGCTGAGACACCCTGCCCTTGGAGGAGGCTGAGAGGAGCTGCTGGGATTGCCGTACACCACTTACCCCAAGGACACTGAGGACCTGCAAGCTACAGAGCCACACGAATGGACTAGGGTAGGAAGTAGCCCAGGGGAACCAGAACTTGGTCAGGTTGTGCTGTTGCAGTATGAGTCAATATGTTTTGGCAGGATCCTTGCTGACCCAATGGTGGGATCCCCTGCCACTGACAGGGGCCCTGGGCTAGGACCTGGTGAAGTAGAGTGGGCTTGGATCCCCCTAACTCCTTCTGTCAACCCCAATCCAAGCCCCTAGACTGTATGTGCTGTCTGCCTTAGCCAGGAGGTGAGGCTACAGACTGCTTAATTGCCTACTTTTCTGCCCCACCTGGAAGGCCAGAACCATTGACTGTGTTTGCTGTCTGCCTTAGCCAGAAAGCTAGGCTAACAACTATCTGATTGCTATTGCTCTGTCCTGCCTGGAGGGCCAGAGCCATTGACTGAGAGTAAAAAGAAAAAGAGTACTTGTGGCACCTTAGAGACTAACACATTTATTTGAGGATAAGCTTTTGTGAGCTACAGCTCACTTCATCGGATGCATTCAGTGGAAAATACAGTGGGGAGATTTTATATACACAGAGAACATGAAACAATGGGTGTTACCATCACTCTTGTTACAGCGTGTATGGTAACACCACTCTTGTTAGAGAACATGAAACAATGGGTGTTACCATACACGCTGTAACAAGAGTGATGGTAACACCCATTGTTTCATGTTCTCTGTGTATATAAAATCTCCCCACTGTATTTTCCACTGAATGCATCCGATGAAGTGAGCTGTAGCTCACAAAAGCTTATCCTCAAATAAATGTGTTAGTCTCTAAGGTGCCACAAGTACTCTTTTTCTTTTTGTGGATACAGACTAACATGGCTGCTACTCTGAAACCTGACTGAGAGTACTGTCCACCCTAGCCAGGAAGCCTGGGCTAGGGACTACAAATTAACTGTTAATTGCCTGACTCAGCAGGTCAGAGTGGCCCCTACATATGCAAAGAAACAGAGGACAGCACATGGTAAAAACATTTTAGCAGCACTTTAAAGGGGTGACATACTTTAAAAACACCAAATAAACAAACATTCACATTTAGGTATTAAAAACATACTACGATGTTTCATTCATGTTACAAAACATGTTGTGCATTGTGGTTAATCCTGTGGTAGCACAGTTCACAGCAGCACGCGTAGGGGAAAGTTCCCCTGCAACAGGAGAGAAACAAGGCCACCATTCCCAGAAATGTTTGGGAGAGGATTGCAGAGTACCTCCATGAAAGTTTCAGCAAGGTTGCTGAAGAGGATGAGAGGGACAGCCCTATTCAGGGGAACAAAGAACTCCAAGTGGTCCCAGCAGCCTAATCCAATGAGCCAAAGAATGGAAAAGTGGATGCCATCTTTCTTCCACCTCTATCGAAACTGAGGACACTGATCTTAAGTAGATTATGTAATTCTGACTATCCTACTATTTTTCTATATTGTGTGTTATAACTGTGTTGGCTCCAGGATATTAGACAAGGTGGGTTAGGTAATATCTTTTATTGGACCACTTTCTGTTGGTGAGAGAAGATTTTGAGCTTACACACCTTTTGAAAGCTTGTCTCTCTCACCAACAGAAGTTGGTCCAATAAAAGATATTACCTCAACCACTTTGTCATACTAATTTTCTAACATTTTAAAGCTTAAGCGAGCAGTTAAACATCAGTGCCTTTGTTTTCTAAACTTGCAGATGGGACAGATACCATTTTCAAATGGGGAAAGGAGGAAGAGGAGATCTTGGGCAATGAAATGTAAAAAATGCTTATAAGGAACAACATAGGTACACATTTACCCAAGCTCCCTTCCCCTTTATAAGAAGGCTCATCTGTGCTTCCCTAGCAGAACTGCCTTGAAATCCTTGTGACTGTTGTGGTATGAGTAAGTAGGCTGAGTACAAGGCAGGCAAGGGGTTGGGGGAGGACAAAGAGTATGGTTGAATGGCAAAAGTCAAGGGGTTACACTAGATAGGCATACTTCAGAAAATGAAAGTGAAGCCAATAGAAAGGAACATGAAGTATTATCAAAGTTTAAGCTGGAATTCAGGAGGACTGAAAGGAATTAACCACACAGAAAGCTAACTTGGGCACCCTTGTAGATAGTTCAGTTAAAGCTTTTGCTGAAAGTCAGTGGGAATCACAAAAAGTAGTTAATATTGGAATGTTTAAAGACTGGAATAGAAAAATATTAGAAGAAAATGGCACATCCTCACCTGGAATAGTGTTCCATAATCTCAACAGAAGATACAGAAGACACAGAAGTCCAGAAACAGGAAATAAAGTAATCAGAAGACTGGAGAGGCTGTCTGAAGAGTGTGAAAAAAATTCAGACTATTTAGTTGAGAGGTGGCTATCCAAAGAACAGTATAAACCATAGGAATAGAGTAGGGTACTCAATTAAATTGAAAGGCAATATGTTTAAAACTAATGCAAGAAAGTGCTTGTTTAAAAATACAACTCATAATTGGCCTGCCATGAAATATCATTGGACCAAAGAGCTTAGCAGAAATCAAAAAGTTAGACATTTATTTAGATGAGAACACCTAGTATCACACAAGATAAAATAAATTCCTCCTTACTTCAGGGCATGAGCCAACCACTGACTGACAGGGAGCCTTAAGTAGTACTGCAAAAAGAAGGGAGAATAACAGAACCAAGGAGACAGCGCAAACCACAGCAAGACAGGAAACAAAAATTTGAAACAAAGGCTAAAAGCAGAGAAGTCCAAGGTGAGAATTCAGTGTCCGCCCCCCTGTCACACCAAATCCACCCCTGGTTACAGAACTATGCTCTAGAACTTCAGTTTTGTGTTTGTTTTGAAGTTGTTTCTAGCCCTCAAAATGTGAGCCAAATGAAAACCAATGCAGCGCAGTCCTGAACCAGGAGATTCCAGCAGCTCCCTCAACGCCTATTCTTATATGTTCATACTTCATGTTTTCACAAAAACAGCATGAACATTATATTAGTAAACACTCTCTGATGAAAGACATAATATTCAGGATTAATAGGGAAGATCCCCACTCCCCTCTTATTTTCCCTGTACCCACTTAGTACCTTTAAAGAGTAAACAGACTAGACTGTAAGTTATAAAAGAGTTGAAAACTGGTACTACAACTGTTATGGAGTAGCCCTGCCAATTGTTGCATTTATTTATTTCTTGGTTTGCAACGTTACTCTCTGTAGCTCCGAGATGCTCCGAAAACAGGAAAGTCTGTGCAAATTATCATTACTCTGAATAGTCAGTTTCACTAGTCAACAGACCTAAAAACAGGAGAGGAGGAAAGTTACTGCTTATAACAAAACTAGGTGCGTGACTCAGACAGAAGTGGTATTGTTTGCCCACGTCCCCCTCAGCCGCCTACAGAGAATGACAGGGGCAGCGAAACGCAGGTAGTGTCAGTTTCATCATCAAGTTTCGTTTCCCCGACTCCCTCTCTCCGGCTCGCGCTCCCGCTTGACAGCGCTTCTATGGCGCCGACCACGGCCACTGACAGAGGCGCCGACCCAGCCGCCGCCTCGTTACCCGCAGCGCCCTACGGAGCCGCCAGAGGAAGCGCCACATCCCCGGGGGGAGAGAGCAGGACGAACGGGGGAGAGGGGAAGCGGCAGCAGGGATGGATAGAGGGAGGCGGACGGGGGAGACCGAGCGTCTTAACAGCCCCTCCGGAGCAGGGGCAGGTCGCGGAGCAGCGCTGCGCTCCCCTGGGGCTGCCAGCTCGCGGCTTCCCCGCTCAGGACTCCCCGGGCCAAAGGGGCCGCCGACGTCGGCGGGCCTCCCCCCGCCTCAGGGCGCCTCCTGCCCGCGCTCTCCCCACCTGTTGGCCGCGCCCTGCCCGCCGGCCGGCCCCCGCCCTGCCCGCCGGCCGGCAGCACAGGGCAGCGGCTGGGGGCCGGACCCCGCTCGGGGCGGGGGGCGCGGAGCCCCGGGGAACCCTACTCGCCGGGCCGGGTTACCTCCTCGCCAGCGCCCTCCTCCGCTGCGCTGCCCGCGCACGCCATGTTCGCGCTGCCCGCGCACGGGGCCGCCGGCTTCTCTCAACGGCCGGCCGGCTGGCTGGCGGCGGCGCCTCCCTCCGCGGCCGCTTCACTCTCGCGCCAGGCGCTGCCCGCTGCCCCCTTCCCTGCGATCGCCGGCGCGGAGTCCGCGGCCACCCTTCGCCGGCCCAGCGGGAAAGAGGGAGCCGCTCCTACGGCCCTGTCCCGCCCCCTCATTTGCATAGCCAACGCCCGGCAGCCTCCTGTGGCTTGGCCCCTCTCATGCCCTACCTTTGGGACCCGCCTCCTCATTTGCATGCCAAGTCCCTCCCACTGGGGGGACGCTGTTGCTTTGAGTACTTTGCTCCGCGGATGGAGCTTTCGCCCCGCGGGCGCCAGGTCGTTCCCCTCCCCCGCCCCGCGCCGGGCTTAGCCGCCAGCACCTGTCCCCGGACGGCCACCCATGTCCCCACTTCAGCAGCCAGCCTGCAAATCACACTGCCCAGCCAGCCGCCGCGGGCGAGCGCCTCGCCTCCCCGTGCTGCAGCTCTGTCCCCTGCGGCAACAACTGCAGCCACGCCGCCAGCTCGCCTGATTTTATCACCACGGGTCTGATCCTCGGGGCGGTTTTTTAAGCCTCAGCCTGCAAGATACTGACGACTGCACGCCAAGTAGCTTTCGTTTTAAAATGAAAATGAAGTTGCTGGCGCTCATGATTGTAGCCCCCAAACTGTATCCGAAAGGGTCAGAAAGGTCAGGAGAAAAGAAAGATAAGCCAGGTTGAACAACATCTTCTATTTTAAAAAGCAGTTCCCTGTGAGGTAAAACAGCAGTTCAAGAAGGGATAACGGTAACATATTGCAATTTGCATTCCGATAAAATTAGTTTGCATATTAGTGTATGCAGTGTTGTAGCAGTGTCCCTCCCAGGATACTAGAAAGAAGAATTGGGTGAGGTAAGATCTTTCACTGGACCAACTTCTGCTGGTGAGAGACAAGCTTTCAAGCTTACACAGAGCTCTTACAACCCAAAGAATTTCTAAAGTCTGCCTCCTTTACTGGTGGAACTTCCCTGTGGACAATTAAAATAGACTAGTCAGTTTCACTCGTGATCATTCACTTTCAGGCACTTATTCACTCCTCCAATGATAAAATGTTTGGGATGCTTGTTTAAAATAAATTAGTGACTGCTGCTTCCATTAGAATATGGGGGGCGGAGGAGTAGACAAACTAATGGAAGTATTTTTTACTGGTTTTGGGGATTGAAAACTCCCTCTTTCTATGGTCCAAAATTCTAATGTCCTTATTCAGACCCCAATCTTGCAGTGAACTCTAAGGGGTTGTGCACATGCAAATAACATGTACATGTAAGTCTAGTATTGTCAACTCTTGGCAATCATGAGTCTTGGAGTATTTGGTGATTTTCTTATAACCAGGTAATTTCATGAGAATTTCACTCTTTAAAAAAAATTGTAGCTCTCATGATTGCAGAGAAAAGCTTTTAACTCTTACAGTTCAATAACCACAAGACAAATAAGATTAAGTTGTTCTGAGTTTCATGTTGCTGCCTGACTCATGACTGAATGCTTGCTGTTAACCAAACCATATCTAAAATGGTTCATTAGCAGGACTACTTGGTAGACTCTCCCACAAGGGGCCAAATCTCAAGATGTTTTGAGCATCTGCAACTCCCTGCAGAGCAGACTGCAAGAGCAGACGTCCCTCAACCCTCTGTCAATGGGAACAGAGGATGTATGGAAAAGCCACTCACCACCCAGAAGGCTCAGGTCCTCAGCAGTCAAAAGTAGGCAGGCAGCAACATCCCAGAGAGATGAGATCTGTCTACTCCTAGCCCATCCCAAGCTAGATAAAGCAGAGTTCACAAAAAGTATTGGGGGAGAAGGGGTAGATAGAGAAGTACAGCCCTAAAATGAGCACTTCCCTGTTGCATGACCCCCTATCCCTGCCAGTTGGGCTTCAAAGAGTTCTGTTACCTTTTGTTTTCATAAGCAGTGGAGACCGTGGCTGTCATCTTCTCCTTCTCCCTTCCCCATCCCCCAATGCCTTTCAGATTTAACTATAATCTGATATCTTTTCTTAGATTCAGCTATACACAGGTATGACAGTATGGATGGATAAGTAAACTGCCAGCTGCTCTTATATAGTCTTCCGCAAGAAAGCTTTTGCATCAAGTTGCCAGTGAAAACCCATCTATACCAGTATAGCTCTCTAGGACAGATCTGAAAAACACAGAGTGCTATTTTACTCTATAGATGCACTTTGCAGGCCCATACATGCCTTCCAGTTGAGTCAGTGCACACAACTTTTCAGCACCATGTGCTAATTGGTAGGCCTTTCCCAGCTCCACCTAAACTTGTTACACTTCGTATGCAGAGTACTTTTTGCCTTTACATTAGTTACTTCTCATAACTAAACAATTTGTACCCCCTTTTTACAGATGGAGTAACCCCCTTACTCAAATGAGAAGAATGGTTACAATCTAAAGGGCCAACAAAACACAGTTAGATACAGAAGGCCCATAGTTCACCCCTAATGGGGTAAGAATACGATCATGGAGAAAGAAAAGGAAGAAAACTGTAAGGAGGAACTGACTAAGTAATTACTACAAGCAGTATACCAGATCCCACAAGGCCATCTTCCCTCACTTCCCCACCCACAATGAATGAGTCCCCCTACAGAAGGGCCAACATAGTAGTTAGGATTACAGTATTTAATTACCCCATTTGGAAAAGAAGAGAGGGGTGCAGAAAACAAAAGCATATAGATCCCTTCAAAACCATCAGGTTTCTGCACAAGGAGGATTAAAAGTCTACACATGAGGATGCCTCAACATTACCCAGATCACTCATTGTTTCTTTTCTTCTTAAGAACTTGGCTCCTGCTCTAGCAAGGAGTATCTCTGGCCTAGCATTCTCATCTTTCCTCCTGCCCCACAAATTTTTCTAAGGGAGTATGCACAGTTTGGGGTGCCTGGTATGAGCAGAAACTGGCATTTACTGAGGATAAGCTGAGAGCTCTGGCTGAGCCCTCAATTTCCCCCCCAGGGTTCCCCATCTGAAGATTGGGAGAGTCAGCAACATTTTTCCCCTCAGTCTTTTACACCATCTCCCTTTGGGGAAAAGATCCTTGGCTTTTTATTGGTTCAGAAGCTCTGACTTTTCCCAGCTTCCATGGGCTGCTTTCTGAGGAGGTGGGCTTTCATTGCTTTGGTTAGCCTGGGGTTATCCCTAAAGGACAAACAGAACCTGCTGATTATAAAAGCCTCCATTACCTTTTAAATCCTAAGACTAACTCATTCATGTTTCTACATTCACTTGCTTTAGCCTTGTAAATAATTCTGTAATTTTCTCTATTTAATAAATCTTCATATGATTTATTACAGGATTGGTTACCAGCTTTGTCCGTGGTGTGAGATCTAAGGCACAACTGACCTTTTAGGGCTAGGAGTAACCTGAATATTGCTGTGATTCCTTGTCTTAAGGGCCATCTATCACAGAGACTTGCATAGCAAGATAGACTGGAGAATCCAAGGGGACTGTCTATGACTCTATGTTAAAGCTATTAAAGTGCCTGAGGAGTTTGCACTTGCTGCAGCTAGTTAGTGAAATTTTAGTTCAGGGCACAAATCTCAAATTGGTTGTGAGTTCTGCTTTTTTAAACAGTCTGCCCTGAGGTTGGTACTCACACTCTTGTGCCACTGTTGGGAGTGTCACATCCTGTTATTAATGTGCTGACTAGCATGAGCCTCCTTAGTGTTAGAATATTATTGCAGCTTCTGAATACAGTATCTAGCATTTTTACCCATACAAACATGCATTCCCAGCTTGTGTGCATGCAAAGTTCTTGTGCAACCTACATTTTGAAAAGTAAATGATTTTGGGTAAGCAACCTGAGTGAACTTGAAAGGGGGCTTCTTTATAGTACCTCAGGTTAGTCACCTCAAGATTGACGCACTCCAAGTCCCTAACTGTATTTGAAAACTTAGGCCTACACGTATACAAGGCAGCATCTCCCTCATTCAGTGCAAATGGTGCATTAGAACTACCTTGAAGCAAGGTCAGTCATCTTTTGATTAAGACAATACCTAACACTGAACAACAGATCAAATTCTTAATAGGATAGCCAAGTTTTGAAGACATTGCTATTATTAGATCCAATAAATTGCAAGCTTGCATTAGTCATCACACTGCCCACATGTGCAGGTACTTTATCAGGAAATAGCTAACAGGAACCACAGAAAAACTCAATTTAGAACAAGATAGGAAAAAACTCCTGTCAAAATAGTACTCTTAGGGAATCAACAGAAGATCAGCACCTTAAGCTAGACAGAGTAGGGCATCAGTTTCAAAGGGACAAAAATTCTTACATTCCTAGACTTGCCCAATCCCTCAGGGATGTCTTAACAGTCTCTCACATTTATTAGGCTTGTATACAATTCATACGTCCCTAGCAGAAGAGGAGCGGGGGGAGGGGGGGGGGAAATCAACCGATCTCTAGATTTTCCCTTGTCTTAGGGATACTGGCCAGTCTTCCCCGTTACCAAGTCCCTTCACCTCCTGGAAGCCCCACTGATTCTCTCTTCCAGGAAGATTTTTATTTTCAAATACCTAATACATATCCTCCCAGGCATAACAAGAGAATTATCCCACCACTTAGTAAGCCTGCTCCTTCCTTCTTATTTCTTGTTCCTTTGATTCTAGTGGGCAGGGATTGATTTCTAGCAGATGTTAAAGGGAGGAGTCAACCACAGCGCCTGTAGAGCATTAACCCCTTCCCTCCCTGACCCCATGTAAGGTTTGTACATACAATACACCATATCACTTCCCTCTTCAGCTTCCTCCAACCTTTCACACCAAGCACAACTCTTTTTCCTCTGCTCTTTGTGCCTAGTCACCCCTTTTGTAGCTTCTCCCCACTCTCACCTCTGTGACTTCTTCCATGCTCTCACCTCATGCCTAGTCTCACTTGTTTTCCAATACTGGAGATGTTTACAAACTCCTCTTTCAAGTCTTGCCTCAAAACAGACTCTTTTCCCTGAAGCATTAGTAAGCCACACAAAGTACTAATATTTATTTAGAAATTAAACACTTCAAAAAACCCAGTACTGCACTAACGTGATAAACCTACCTTCTGCTGAAGTGTACGTTATGTCAGACTTTTATATTCTCTACTTCGTGCTTCATTAATTTAATCACACAAATAATTCCATTGATTTCAGTGGGCCTACTTCCATGAGTCAGTGCTCCT